TATGTTCCTCTTCCTTGTTATTTCATAACAATTGTATTCTTTCTTCTTTTTTCCCCTTATTTTTTCACTGACAAAGTCAAATCCCACAAGGGAATTCTGATCCCAGCCGATTTCACTTTTAACAAAAGCCATTTGTGTAGATAATACACGACGGCATTTGCTGAGAACCGAGTTTCGAGCAATTTAGCAGTGGTGTTACTGTTACGACTGGCTCTTAAACGAGCAGTAGCTATTAGCCTGGTAGTGTAGTTCTACCGGAAAGGATTTGTATAATTTCCTCTAGTAGAGAGTTGGTGGCCTTCCTAGCACGTTTCGTTTATGCTGATTTTTGGAAAGGATATTGTTTTTTATAATCTAAGTTAATGGGGTTTTCTTACACTAATAATCTTCTTTAATTTTTCTGAATCGGTTAGTGCAACTTTATGTTCCCCTTTATTATGAAAAGATTTCGAACACATCCCTATATCCAAAATTTGAAGTTCTCCTTCCTTACAAGTTAAAACTATGGGCTTCAATATATATAATTAATTTTCTCATCTTGATTTCGGCTTTAGCTTTCAGATTCAATTGGTGTACGTTCAGATTTATTGTAGTTGGAAAACAACCCATTAACAAGATATATAGGACAATTACCATAACAATGACCAACCCAAATAACTTAATTCCGGACAAATTGCAAGTCAAGTGCCTCTTTTGGGTAAATGTCATAGTTAAGTGACTATTTATTGCCACCATGGTTGTACTAGGGTGGCTATACGGTCCGGTCCGGTTAAATTGGTCCGAATTGATTCGGTCCAGTCCGGTCTTTTTGAAAATATAGGGACCAAAGCTTGGATTGGGTACATTCCGGTTTTGACCCGGTCCGGTCTCAATCCGGTTTTGACCTATTTTGACCCATTTTGACCATGTTGCAGAAAATTCAGCAACATATAACCATTTTCCTGGAATATAGACAACCTGTTTGTAGCAAAAATCCTAATTAATGACTATGAAAACAAAAGAATCGAAATAACAACTATGAACCATCAAATAAAGTGATTAGTTAATTACTACAACCATTTAAAAAAATCTCTGAAATTGCATAGCGTTACCGAGCAATGGACTTGTGGTATATACTAGAAGTTAAGTTATGCGCTTAGATGGCTATATGTTCCTTCCACAAGTGAAGAAAACACAGAGAAACTCTGCATTGACTGCGTTTGGACAACCAGTTGCATTTCACAATCGTCACAAAAACCACACCGCAACTAGTCACACACTGATCAGTACTTGAAACAAACTACAAAGCAAAAAACAAACTACAACCCCAGCTGGTTAAGAATAACGATCGAAATCATAATAGCTCATATATATAATTCATACGATCCCAGCCAGGCGGTATACGACGTCCCTAGCTAATTAAGATCCTGTCTGGTGCAGGAATGCATGTATCACATCTCCGTCCTCCATATTTACCTGGGTGTGTAATCAATGAAGCAAACACTTAAAAACCCCACCACTTTGACGTGTATGAACTTGTGCGTCGGCTCTTGATCCAATGCTAATTATCAGGGCTCTGCAAATCGTCTACTACAGCAAAAACAACAAGGTGAAGAAAGAAGAAGAAGAAGAAGAAAGGACTCCCCTGCAAATTGACGAGGAGTCGACTGTCGAGGACGATGGATTAGAGGCTGGAGCGGGCGAGCGGCTGCTTCTTTGCAAATTGCAAACCCTAGGGCCTCGGCTGCTGCTTTGACACTTGCTCGGCTGGGCCTGGGAGGGAGGGGAGAATGGGCCTGAGTTGCAGACTTGTAGTGGGTGGGCTTGGCCGGCCTCTAGGCTTATTTTAGTTATCCGGTCTTCCGGTTTTAACACGGTTTTGACCCGGATTGGATTGGTCCGGTTTTTTTTTATATTTCTAAGACCAAAGACGGGATTGGATTGTTTTAAATCCGGTCCCGGTCTTAAAAGGTCCGGGTTATATGGTCCGGTTTCCGGTTTTTAATCCGGTCCCGGTCCAAATAGCCACCCCTTGTCACGCCGGCCGGCGTGCCACTTGTTGAACCTGATTTAACCTGTACCGGTTATAAAACTGGCATGACAATACCGGTATGACCGGCATGATCGATATACGAATCTCCAAGTAAAATGATCTTATTTTAGTGAATTTAATTGATAAAAAGTAATTTATTATTTATTTTATGTGTTAAAAAGTTAAATGTTGATGTTATTTGTTGGATTCAAGTACTAATATTTAGGTATTGACGTTAAATGTCGTGTTTAAATGTTGAACCGGCACAAACCAGTATGTACTACCGTTCGAACCATTCCACTTGCTAAACCGGCACACTGGCGCAAATAGGTTTGACAACCTTGATTGCCACTGAATATCCGGAAATTCATGGAGCCAAAACGCAAAGAGCCGAAATACCAACTCATCAAAATCGACACCGTCATATCCAGTCTGGCCGTGGGTGGATATATAAACCCCACAGCCCCCTCGTTTACCACAACACACACAAAAGTAGTCAAGAAATTATCTCACAAGATCAGAAACAGCTATGAAGAAGTTGGTCATCAATATTATGGTTCTTCTGGGCATAGTACTCGTTGCAATTGCGGGGCACCCATCGGCCGTCGTTTATGCTCAGCAATGCATTGGAGCTACCTGCCGTCTCACGGCCCCCAACAGCGGCGGCCAAGACTCCTTAACCGTCGCTAAAGCACTAGCTCGCACAAATTCGGAGGGTTACGACGAACCCAAGTCCGGCAAGGACGGCGGCGGCAAAAACTGCCGTGGGTGCTGATCCGCAATATATAATAAGAATGATAATTAACGTGGAAGATTAAAATCCAAAGAGAAGAAGTTGTGTAAGATTAATTATTATGATATAAAAGTTTGTGTGTGTTTGTGCTTTTTTTTTTCCCTTAATGTTCCTCAGACCTACAATTTGCAACTCGTGCTAGCTTTATGCAGTTGCCAGTTGGGCACTGCACGCACGGAATAAATTGATTTTTCAGTGTTTGCTTTAATTTGTTATCGCCATTAAGTGCCTGCAAGATATATTGGTTTGCAACCTCTGAATCTTGTCAATGATGCAAACTGCAAATGCAATCAGGCCAGAAGAGACAAAATATAAGGAGTAGAAATGGCATTCCGAAGAAGATCAATGCAACTGATTTTTTATTGCAGTTCTACTTCTATGTCGTGGAGATGTGAAAATTGCACTGATCCTCAAAATGGCGCTTGGGCCATATCTCGAGCTTTGGTCGACAATTTGGCGCCTATTTGGGACCTGAAATCCAGTTCCTTTTGTAACATTCAGTATTTTGATCATGCTATCCCAAGTCATGCAGAGTGGTCCGTATGACATGAAATTGGACAAAGCAGTACTTTTTTTTCTCAAAGATATTTCCAATAGGGAACAACTAGATACGAATTGGAAGCCTTTTCGGGCAACCATAATAATACATATAAGAGAAAGGGACGACTGTCTACCAAATAGCCGAAGCAGTACTTAAAAGGCATAAAAATTATACAAACATCCCTATAGACCACTAATCGTTACTTTGAGTGAACACCAAGAAAATTGAAGCCAATATGGTAGAATTTTTTTTGTACTCATGTGAAAAATTCCACGAAATGAGGTTATGAAAACATGTATTTTACATGTCATCATATGGTGAATAAGTTTTTGAACTTTCTTGTTTACAACAGCTCGACTTTCTTTTTCTTTCATTTCCTTTTTTAATGAATGGTTAGAGCTTCGATCTATTTCATAAAAAAAAAACAACTAGTGTTACTTTTATGGCAACACCCCTTGCCATTAGGAAAAACAAACTACGGCTAATGTACTAACATAAGCCTAGGAGCCAAGAACTAGAGACACAAGAACTCAATTGCAAGAAGATTACAACCTCGGCACTATTACATAAAGCATTCATGTCTTGTCTAGCCTTCTTTACCACTTCAGCAACACTGCATATGACAGTGTCACCAACGTGTACAATTTTGCTCATGTTATAAACGCGGTGGTATGGATCAGGAAATCGCCGGAATCGATAAAGCAAGAATACGAAAGCGAGAATCGAAAAACACAGACACACGATTTACGTGGTTCACTAACACGATGTGTGTTAGCTAGTCCACGGGCGAGAGAGAGCCAGTTTCACTATATCGAGGAGATTACAGATTACAGAGGAGTATGAGAAGTATTATAGTACTTCTCCATGTGGGTCTAAACCTAATCCAATATGGCAAAGGAAATGGTTACAGACCAGGCCCAGAACCCGAACCCAAATAACATTGAGCCCATACACCGCGGCTGATAGTCCGATTCAAGTCACATCAACAGCTGATATGGCACTGACGTGGTAGATGATCTGGATCCTACTCAGCAGAGCGTTAGAAAAATTGACGCCATCACCAACACCGTCAAAGTTTCTAACAGAGTTGGCTAGATTTGTCATACTACCATGCAAATTTCTGAACAATTAGTGTATTTTGATTTATTTGGCTATAATTGTCACGAACGTGAGAGTTGTGGCTATGAAAGTGTATTTTGCCAAATTAAATGTATAAATTTAATTTGTAGCTTAAAGAAATTTAAGCAAAAAAGTATAGGTACAAACTGAATGTATACCAATTTTTTTTTAAACGATAACACCTGTCCTCCTCCTGGAGATTAAATTAGAGAGGAATATTACAAAATTCTCACTGAAACTATCTAATAAACAACCCCGTAAACATCTAAGCTGAAAATCCAAATCGGAGCATTTCACAACAAGTCTTTCTTGAAATGGGAAGACAGAAGCAAATGCCAATTAAGAGCATCGAGATAAGATTTTAATTAAGAGCACTCTCAGCGGCCTCTTAATTTCCACTCCTATAAATTCTCAAAACGGTCTCTCACAACACAAATCACAATCCCCAAAGAACACTCAAACACAGCATACATTTCAAGGCCCGGCCAGCAGTAAATAATTATTATCGAAATGGCGACCAACCAGGTTTACCGTCACTATTCAATCATCGGCCGCGCTGTGGCGACGGCATTGTCATTGATAATAATAATGTCGCTGTTAGCACAGTTGAGTAACGCGGATGCCAATCGTGCTGACGTGGCATCGGTGGGTCTGGCGTACAAAGCGCCGATAGCGGCGCCGGCGGGCAAGAGCGCCAACTGCGGGATCCAGGGAAAACACAAAAAGTGCAGCCTTCCTGGGTACGATTGCTGCAGCCAGTGGGGGTTTTGTGGGGTAGGTAAGAAGTATTGTGGTGACAAGTGTCAAAAATATTACGGGGATTGTTACGCCCCGCGTCCGGTCATCCCCCATTAATTTCTACCGCCCGCTCTGCCGGCGGACTTGAGTCTGAGACTTGGCATTTACAGGGTGAAAGACTGGTTTCCCGCGGTGTAGCGAGATTCCGATTTTTGTTTTGTTTTGTTTTGTTTTCATTGCTCCGGTTCACAATTACATCACATTTTGATATATTTTATTTCTTTCTTTATCAATGCTCAATCGAGAGGGAGATAATTCATAGTATTACAGCTATTTAATTATAGCGATGTCAACCGAAATCCATTTTTATCAATCTATGCCATTTTCAAATTAATATGAAGATTTGCTTCTACCTGACTATTGCATGCCAGATTGCCATTTACTCTTAACTCCTTTTATTTCATCGCAAGCAACACGTATCCATTAATTAGCGGCGAATCCATGATAGAGTAGAGCACTGGGCCACATTTGAAAAAGCCGCAGAGAAGACTGGGCCGTAATCAGACGAGCATTGAAATGAATATCTAAAATCGAAAATTACAAATGTTATACTAGATTTGGATCCAGGGGAGGGCTGAGTTGTGGCCCGGGGCGCCACTAGATACGCCACTACCATTAGGGGTGAAAGCTTGCCCCCAGAAACCCACTGACCCGTCCCGTCCCTAAGGGTCGGGATGAGTCAGTTTGTCTACAGGGACAGATTAGAGACGGGTCATTTGTTGACCCTGTAAGGGTCGCGATCGGGACGGGTAGAGACAACTTAGGGACGAGTCACGTTTTGACCCTGTGACCCTTAGCAACAACAATATCTCACACCACATTGGACCTTTTTGTAAAGTTTTAAAATTTTAGGTACTAACTTGTAAATATAAAAAAATTTGGGTACCAAAACTTAATTTTATCATCAAAATTTATGGACTTATTTGTAAAAAAAAAATAGGTACTAAATTGTAAAAAAAAAATGGATACCAAAACATAATTTGTTAAAAAGTTGTGTGTTGATTAGGGTCGACCTACTGACCCGGCCCGTCTTTTCCCGTCCTAATCTTTAAAGGTCAGACAGGATCAATAAGAAAATAAGAACGAGACGAATCAGTTATATATCTTGACCCTTCAAGAACGAATAGGAATAGACAAATTTTCAGCCTAGCTACCATTAATAAGAGAAAGGCTAAAACGCCCATGGCATTAGCCCCGCAACAAATTACACATGAGCATTTACTGAACGGGGTGGGCGAGGTCAAAATCTTAGTGCTGATCACTGTCCGATTTTAAACCAAAATAACCGAGCCCAACCTAAAATAAGAACCCAGCCTAGGAGCCACTCCACAACCCACCTCTAAAAGCCCAAACACATTATTATCCACTCAGCCACTAGTCCAATCTCATCCACCGCCCAAAATCCAAAAATATCAGGAATATGGTGTATAACTCGGGGAAATTTACCAAAATATTGCCTTTTTTTTTAATTTACCACCAATATGGTGGTTTTAAATTTATTTACACAGATATTGTGTTTTTTTGGGGAAAGAGATGCGGGCTCGCAGGAGAGTCAATTTTAACACTATGAAATGCGGATCCAAATTGGATTTGTGCGGACCCGCGTGTGAGTGCTGCGGCCCGCATGGGACTGCTGCGGAAACGCATGGGCTCGGCCTACCCGCATTACTCTCATGCGGATTCGGCCCACAGTGTTGTACCCACTCCAGCATATATTTCCCTCTCCATTTCCTTTCAGTATCACCACCCAAAAACTTCTAAAAAACGAGAGGGAGGAGCTCTGCTGGTTGCTGCAAAAGATGGCTAGGTAAGATACATTTATTTTTATAATTATATTATTAAAATGCTATTATAATTTTTTTTGGTTAATAATTAGTGCATTTGTTTGTTATGTAGTGATTTTAGGAAATTTGAACTAATTGTTTGGTGGAAATCGGAGAAAGTAGACGACAATTCTGGCGTTCATTTCGTTGGTGGTAGAAGGTTTCAGTTGACAGTTCCATGTCGGGTGACATATCATCAATTTTGTGAGAATCTAATCCCGAGAATACGGCGTAGAGACGAAGCAGTACAAGATAGTGATATGATCACAGGTTTCATTTATCGTCTTCCAGAATGGCAGAATGGTGTTCTATTTCATTATGCGATGCCTATTGTGGATGATGATGGTTTGAATGTGCTTTTCGATTTTATGGCACAAAATCCTTATTGTTTGGGTGCTGAGGTACATGCTGAGATTAGTCAGGCTGATCAGGGTGAAGATGATACATGGAGTGTGCCATCTGACCATGATTATGAGGACGAGGAGGAGGAGGAGGAGGAGGAGGAGGAAGAGGAGGAGGAAGATGGGGAAGAAGAGCAGCCTAACTTTCCTCCATATTTTTACTTGCAGGCTGCTGAAGAAGATGATGAATTATCATATGTTGATTCATATGGGGTAATTCCAATGCCTATCGTTTCTGGTTTTGAAGGGGAATTCTACAAAGGCCAGATATTTCACTCGAAACAAGCTGCACAGGTGGCGGTTAAACACCACGCACTACAACACAACTTTCAGTATGGCGTGGTGGAGTCGTCACCTTCAATTTGGAAGGTTAGATGCTTGAAGCATAAGGATGAGAATTGTCCTTGGATGGTGCGGTTTGGATGTCGAGACGTTGGAAGCGAATGGACTGTGAGGAAGGCCGAGTTGGTGCATTCTTGTAGCAATACGACTCAACCGACAGATCATCGTCATCTTGATGTCGACGTTATATCTGAGTCCGTGAAACATTTGGTACGTGCCCAACCTAATCTGAGTGTTCTAACTGTGCAAGCCGAGATGAAAGATAAATTTAATATGCAAGTTACTTATAAGAAGGCTTGGTATGGGAAACAAAGAGCATTGGAGAAGTTGCATGGAAATTGGGAAGAATCCTATGATTATTTGCAAACATTCTTGCGGGTGGTAAAGAGAAAAATGCCAACATCAGTTATTGATTGGGTAAGAGTTCCTTCAGCTCAACCAGGTCATTCGATTTTTCAGCGAGTATTCTGGGCTTATGGACCTTGTATAGATGGATTCAAGAATTGCCCAGGAGTCATGGCCGGAAGCCATCGAGCACCACGTGGAGATGCGTCCGCTGTAATAGGCTCATCCGTCACTGTATGTCGGGGTGCTATCAATGGGAATCGCTCCCACGCCCAGAGCTGTAGCAAGGCGACCCAGCCACCAAGGTCACCTCCGGTGGAGGAGGACTGCGTCAGATGCAGAACCGACCTACCCATCTCACGGTACAGGTAGGCTAGAACAGCTGCTCCCCAAGCGTAGCCTCCTGCGGTCCGCCAATTCTCCAATAGGAGTAGATACTGCAGGTGAACTGTAGCTCCAGTCCGATCGGGGAACATCATAAACCCAATCAAAGATAGGGCATACGCTCGTGCAAACTGCCCTGTAATCTCTGCTGATGCATTTGGCGGCAGATTGTTGAAATGCTCCCTAAGCCAACTAAGCTTAACGACACCCCCGCTAAGATCGTTAGGAGCATGTCCTAACAGTCTGGTACACGTCTCCGACCACTCACGATCTGGTACATCTACCATGACGGCCTCACCGTCAATCGGTAAACCGCTCAGTGTGGCAACGTCCTCAAGAGTGATCGTAACCTCACCGACCGGCATGTGAAAGGTCGATGTCTCAGGACGCCAACGCTCTACTAGAGCGGTGATCAAAGATGCATCTATACAACCAGTCATAGGGACCAACTACTGAATGCTAAACAAACTGGCATCCTGAAGATACGGCTCATAACGTGGATGGTACGTGACCAATTTGGTCGTACCACGAGTCTGGTAAACACGATCACCAGCCTATAGTGCACAAAACTTATATATTCAATTTCATGGCATAATTCTATTTTCAAAACATATTGTAAAATCTATCTAATTTACTAAAAATATATGTAATGAAAACTAATACTAATTTCACATGCAATTATAATATTTCAATTTACCTAGTAAAATCAATATAATTTAGTAAAATATATCTAATCAAACAAATACTAATTTCACAAAATCTAAAACTAATAATAATTTCACAAAATTTCACATGCAATTTTAATATTTCAGTTGACCTAGTAAATCAATCTCATTTAGTAAAATATATACAATCAAACTAATACTAATTTCAATATTCTAATCTAATTAGCTAATGAACTTTAATGAAATAAAATACATAAAATACTTACCTCGTTAATCCAAACTGAGTCGGCACGATGTTGACCATGTGCCCAAAGGAGTACTGAATCGACCGGAGCTGTATCTATCGTCGCAGGTGGTCGTCTCGTAGAATGCCTGTCAAGAATCCTAGGAACTGCAAAAAAAAATTAGAAGCAGAAAATAAAATCCCGCCGGCAGCGACTTTCCGGTCGCCGGCGGCGACACTCCGGTGACCGGCGGCAACTTTCCAACCGATGCTTACTTCGGTACCGCCCGCGTGCTTGCTGTCCTCCTCTTCCACGGCCTCTTCCTCCGGCGGCCGCCTGTTCTTCGTCGGAGTCCGACATCACCAGAAAAACAGATCTGGTTCTGCTCGGCGTCTCTACTCTGCTGCGCTTCCGCGTGACACTCGACCGAATCCTCGCTAGTTCGGTGCGAATCCGCCTTTAAATGTGGGTTTTGTGGCGGTGGGCGAGCGGGGCGTGGCGGGGCGGCGATGGATGGGGCGGAGGGTTGGGGGCGGGCGGTGGGTTCTGGGAGAGAAAGGCGCTGCGGATGAAAGGGGGGAGAAGAAGATAAGAAGAAAGAAATTGATGCGAACCCGCAGGAGTCCTCTGCGGGTTCCTTCTTCTTATGCGAATGCGCAGGAGTCCCATGCGGGTCCGCACCACTTTCCACAATAAATCGAGACTCCTGCGTGTCCGCAGCTCTTTCCCCAAAAAACACAATATCTATGTAAATAAATTTAAAACCACCATATTGGTGGTAAATTGAAAAAAACACACAATATTTTGGGAAATTGGTTATGCTTATGCATAACATTAGCTTTTACCCGACCTATTGGTAGGATAAATTTTATTTTATTTTGTGTTGATCAATTTTTTCATATTTTTTTCATAATTTAGGCTCTTCTATTATAATTATTTATTATTTCAAAGTAATCTTTATGATATTTTTATTATGAAATTAGCAGTAATTAGTTAGTTTACTGTTATTTATATGCTTTTTTCATGTTTAAGAAGAAAATTTTGCACTTCTTATTCTGGGATATGAATTGGGAGTTGGAAGAAAATATATGTAGTTTAAAATTGGTATGAATTGCCAGAGGAAAACCATATGAAAGCATAGAACCAAATAAGATTATTGCGCTAATTGTTGTTTCCCGACCCTTTGGAGAGATGAATTTGGTTTTGTGTTGGCTAATTATATTATTTTGTTCATTATCTTTCGGAATATTTTATTTTCTTAATTGTTAGCCAACTAAGTCAGTTCGATATTTTTTTTTTATGTTCTTGATTCTTGAATACCCTTACCCGTTGGTGAAAAGAAATCACAAAATGTTCAACTTAACTTCAAATGGTTAACTTGAGTGAGTAAAATATCACTATTATAAAATAAAAAATGAGTCTTATAAAAACTTGAGACTCATCATAACAACTCAAGAGTATTTCATTATGTAATGTTGAATCTCATTTGTTTCTCAAAATCCAAAGGAACAGTCGTCATGACTCAAGAATTGGATGCATAAATTATTTCATTGCCGGGTTCTCTAATACTAATCATTCCAACTGAAAAACGAAGTTAAAATATAATTGATAAAGATCATGCAAATTTAAAGAAAAAAATCACCAAAAGAATCTTAAAGACTACTATCAGTACATATTGTTTAGTTAAAATCCACCCAAATAAATATGGAATTAAAATGGAGCAAAAATAATGCAATAAAGTGCGACATGTTATAAAACTAATTGAAAATGTAAACAACTACAAGAGAAGATTAGAGAGGGAAATACACAAGAGAAGTGAGGGGAATAGTTTTTCTTATTCATACTCCTTTGTGATACAATAGTGTGCTCTATTTATAGGCACCCTTTGGTAACCACTACATCCTTACATCAATGCATATGAATTAGAGATAATAATATAGGAATGGGAGTTACATGTAACTCCCAAGTGAGCATCTAATGTGGTAGGCCATTGGTCATCCATATATAAATATTTACATAATACTCCCCTTGGATGACCACTAGATTGCATTATTACGCTATCTCATGCTGCCTCATTAAAAACCTTACCAGGAAAACCCAGTGGGAAAAACCATGGTTAAGGGAAAAAGAGTGCAGCGCGTATATGCTCCCCCTCATGACCACATCAGCTCAGGTCTTTGAGTCGTCGAACTCCAATTTCACGAACAAGCTTTACAAAGATTGTCGTCGGGAGTGACTTGGTGAATAAATCTGCTAGATTCTCACTTGAACGAACTTTTTCGAACAATTATTTCACCACTCTTTTGAAGATCATGAGTGAAAAAGAACTTGGGTGGAATATGTTTTGTTCTATCTCCTTTAATATATCCTTCCTTTAATTGAGCAATGCATGCTGCATTATCTTCATACATGATCGTCGGGATAATTTTTCCTAGAGATAGTCCACACGATTCTCTGATGTGTCGAATTATAGATCTTAACCAAACACATTCACGACTTGCCTCGTGAATTGCTAGAATTTCAGCATGATTTGATGATGTGGTTGTTATAGTTTGTTTTGTGGATCGCCACGAAATAGCTGTACCACCACAAGTGAACAAATATCCTGTTTGAGATCTACCATTGGGGGGATCTGAGAGATATCCTGCATCTGCATATCCCACTAAATCCATCTTCGATGCACTCGAATAAAACAAGCCCATATCCGTCGTTCCTCGAAGGTAACGGAGTAAATGTTTAACTCCATTCCAATGTCTTTTAGTGGGAGAAGAGCTATATCTTGCCAATATATTCACAGCAAACGATATATCGGGTCGTGTGTGACTGGCTAGATACATTAATGCTCCTATTGTACTAAGATATGACACTTCAGGGCCAAGCAGATCTTCATCACTTTCTCGAGGTCTAAATGGATCTCTTTTCACATCAAGTTATCTTACAACCATTGGATTACTCAACCGGTGTGATTTGTCCATATAAAATCGCTTAAGCACCTTTTCAACATATCCTTCTTGATGCACAAAAATACCATCCTTCAAATGTTCAATATGTAATCCAAGACAAAACTTTGTTCTTCCTAAATCTTTCATTTCAAACTCTTTCTTCAAGCAATCAACTGCTTTTGGAAGCTCTTCGGGAGTTCCAATGATATTTATGTCATCAACATAAACTGATATTATAACAAACTCACTACCGATCTCTTTAGAAAAACACATGGACAAATAGGGTCATTCTTGTATCCTTCTTTCATCAAATATTCACTGAGACGATTGTACCACATTCGTCCAGATTGTTTCAATCCATACAAGGATTTGTTCAATTTGATAGAAAATTTTTCTCGAGAATGTGTTTTGTTTGCTTCTGGAAAAGTGAATCCTTCAGGGAGTTTCATATATATATCATTATCAAGTGATCCATACAAATAGGCTGTCACAACATCCATTGGACGCAGATCTAGTCCTTCTCGAACTGCTAGACTAATCAAGTATCGAAACGTAGTTGCATCCACCACAGGGGAGTATGTCTCCTCATAATCAATGCCAGGTCTCTGTGAGAATCCTTGTGCGACAAGACATGCTTTATATCTCACGACTTCACCCTTTTCATTTCTTTTCCGCACAAAAACCCATTTGTATCCCACTGGCTTTACGTTTTTTGGTGTAAGGACTACCGGTCCAAAAACCTTTCGCTTTGAAAGCGAGTTTAATTCTACCTCAATGGCCTCTTTCCACTTTGGCCAATCATCTCTTGACTTGCATTCATCAATAGATCTTGGTTCATGATCCTCATTTTCATTCGTCACACTCAACGCTGCAGCATAAGCAAAAACATCATCGACGATTATTTTACTTCGGTTCCAACATTTTCCATCCAAGACATAATTGATTGAGATCTCTTCATTATCAAAACTTTCAGGTACCTGATGTTCTTCGGGAACTACAATCTTAGTTATGCTTGGGGACTCTTCTTGAGCTTTCATATCCTCGATTTGACCAACTTGATTCATAGCTCCTTTTCTTTTTCGAGGATTTTTATCCTTGGAACCTACTGGTCTACCACGCTTCATTCGTGGTTTAGATTCATTTTCAATTTCAGATTGTCCAACAGGGACATCAACTTTCACTGGAGCATTTACAGCTGGTATGTGTGACTTTGTCACTCTCTTCTGGTCAGCAAAAGAATCCGGCAGTTGGTTTGCTAAACCTTGTAAATGAATTATCTTTTGAACTTCCAGTTCACATTGTCTAGTACGAGGATCAATGTGAGATAATGATAATTCATTCCAACAAATATCTTTTCCCAGCTGTTTGTTCTCACCCCCTAATGTTGGAAAAACTGATTCGTCAAAATGACAATCAGCAAAACGAGCGGTGAATAAATCTCCCGTCAAGGGTTCTAAGTATTTTATGATTGACGGGGACTCATATCCAACATAAATTCCCAACCTCCTTTGAGGACCCATCTTAACACGCTGTGGTGGAGCAATAGGGATGTAGACGGCACACCCAAATTTTTTTAGATGAGAAATATTAGGTTCCTGACCAAAAACCA